AGTGTGTGTGTGTGTGTGTGTGTGTGTGTGTGTGTGTGTCCCCTCTGCCTTTAATCACCCTCTTCCTACTCCCCCCCAGCCCCAAGCAGCCCCATGCAGGCTGGAACTCTGGTAGCCTGTAAGGGGAAACCTGTGGTTTCCTAGGTTTTTCTTCTTTAAAGGAGAAAAATGTAGTTTTTCCATGGCTGGAAAGCCTGGATCCCTGCTTATAAGTGAGACTAATGCAGTAGCTTTGTAGAAACAGGCAAGCTTTAGCTACACCCAAATATACCTGGCTCTGCTTTACTGTAATCATTCCCCCACAGAGGTGATTTCCACTGCTGCTAAGGCCAACTTTTTTTTAGGACATTTGTATTGTAGAAGAGAATTGCTTAACTATCACTGACTTGGTGACATGATGATAATGGAGTGTGCTTTTTACAAGACTGAAACACAGGTGGTAGTTGCTAACTAGAACACTAAAGGCAGCTGAGCATCACCTCTGTCAACTGTACCTGTGTGCTGTTATGTACACATGGGAGAAAGCCCAGGAAGGCAGCTTGCAGACAAATACCCCATGTCAGAGGTCAAATACCCCATGTCACAACCCAACCTAAATGTTGATTGCCGGGGTGGCTGAGTAGTGTACCTATATTGGGGAAAGATAAAATGTTTTGGATTTGTGCCTTAACTCACTCTTTTGTTATGGTTTTTCTTGATTCTGTTGGGCTGTATCAGGTTGTTTTTTTTTACCCTGAGGTGTTGACTTTGCATGTTCTATAGCCTCCACTAGTTTTAAATAAAATGGTAGGCTCCTGGGAGGAGGGAGGAAAGTGGTGGTTGTGTATGTTCTCAGTGAGTAGGTTTGGGCATGCTTTATGTGCCCTTGCAACTTTATATATTATGTAACTTGTGCTTTCAGCGAAGGGCCAGTCTACTATTCAGCTCTGCTGGCCTGAGGGAATTCATTGCATGCAGGTTTTGTTACAGATACTTTGTAGAGCACTCTGATGATACAAAAGATGGAGGATGTGCCATTGCTGTGTAGAAGCACTTTGGCTCATTAGTAAAAATAAAAGAAAATTCTTCCAAATTAAAAAAATTAATATACCTTTTCCCCCAACAATGGGAACTTAAGTGCAAAGAAACATTTGAGTTCACAAAGCTTGGAGGTTTCAACTCACTACAGAAAAGCTCATGGTTTCTGTAATCCTCCTTTGGTCATCAAGGCTTTGATTCTTCAGTTATAGCTGCTTGGGAACCTGGAAGGCTAGAGTACCTTCACACGATTCTCATCCCTGGGTTGAAGGTATTAAAGGAGCATGGCTTCCACTGGCCACTGTTTTCCTTGCTACAGGCCTGTGGCAGCGGTCCTGGTTGCAAAGTGCTGCTCCCAATAGGATGGGTTTCCCAGCATTTGCCAGTCTAGGGCTGGTGAGTCTTGAGGCTGCTGTGTGAGCCAAAGGTCCTGGAGGAGAAGGCAGAATGTTAGTAGCAGCACGGATTAATTGAGCCTGGTTTCTTTTCAGCAATATCTTGGGCAGTAAAAACTCGTAATCAGGGATCCGGGTTGTGTCTGTCTGTCTGTCTAGAGAGGCATTTCATTTTAATAGTGGACAAATGCAGATTTTGGGTTTTTTAATCAGAGAATTTGGGATTTTTAGATATATTTATATACAGGCAGTCCTCGACTTGCAGTGTTTTGAATTACAATGTTTCGCACTTACAGTTATAAATTGACACCGTGTTTCACATTTCTGACATCAGTTTCGACTTTACAACGCTTGATCTGATGCCAGCCCACGCCAGTGAACAAGTTTGCTGTGTCACCTATCTCCCTGAAGAACATCTGTCCAAACTTCCCTGGACACTTTCTTTAAGAAAGCAGACAAGGCTCCAGAAAAACCTGCAGCCAAGACTCCTGAGAAGACTCCAGCCAAGAACCCTTCAAAAAGTCCAGCCAAGAGCCCTTCAAAATGTTCAGCAAAGTCTCCTCAAAGAAGTCCTTCCAAATCAATTATTGCTAGTTATAACTATATTAATGTATCTATATTACTCGTCTATAAATGATTGACTACAAAATTCTGGGTTATTTCTGGTGAAAGTAGGGTATTGGGCCTTGGTTCAGGAACCAATCCCCCAGTTATAACATTGTATTCTATGGGAAAATCAGTTCTGAGTTGCAATATTTCGACTTAAGATGTGGTTTTCAGGAACCAATTGTGTTGTAAGTCTGAGGACTGCTTGTATAGATATACATAAGTATCAGTGCCCCCCCCCTGGATTTCTGTGCCCACAGCAGGGTGCAAGGCTGTAGCTGGGCTGCACCAGCTCTGGGCAGGAGCCATCTCTGTGGCCCAGCTGGCAGGGTCTGATGCAGAAGGGAGTGCTGCACAGTCATGGCGCCAAGATGGGGCACCCCCTGCCTACCCCACAACAGCGGAGGGCATAACTCCACGCTGCTGCATCTTACCTTGGTCCAGCCTGACTGCAGCCCCATGCCCCAATGTGGGCACCAAAATCTGAGGGAACACATGCCCCCCTGCCATGTCGCTTGTGCCCCGCCCCTCGCCCCCCTAGATTTACCTGGAGGGAGCTACAGGAACTGCTCTCCACCACCCTGCCTGGCTGCCAAGTGAGCATTTGCATGCACACATGCATGTTGTGTCCCCTACATCCCACTTTCCGCAGTCCCTTGCAACCTGGAAACCCACCAGCTTGCAAGCATAAACTCATGTTTTTGTCAGTTGTTCTCCTTTAAAGGAGAAAAATCTGCATTTTCCCGCAGCAGTGGAAAACCTGGATCACTGCTCATAATGAACCCAGTTTATAACCTCTCCTCCCCATTTTAACAATATCAATAGCAGAAACCAATTTTTCAGTATGATTCAGAAAATTAACTAACATTATTAAAAGAGAGTGTTTACTTCAAGAAACTTTCCTCCTGATCTTAGGGGGTCCCTTGTAATGAAGCTCTGCTGGCTCTGTATCTCTCTGTACATTTCTGTAGTCTGGGTAGGCACAGCAAGGCTCCACTCTGCCACTGCAGTCCCCTTCTCTGCCAACCCCTTCCTCAATCACCAGGAGACCTTCCTTTTTGGCCTCCCTGTCCCTTGCTTCTAATCCCTGAGAAATGTCCGCCTTACTCCTGAGCTGCCCTACCTCTTTCCTCAAGAAGCTTGTGAGTTCTCAAACCATTTCTTCTTTTGCCCACTTTTTTTACCCTCCACTCAAGTTTGCCAGCTGTTGAGTTGGTGTCCTCCAGGATTTGGATACCTTTTTAAGTGCCCACACTGTAAAGCAAAACAATATAACAAGCTGTCTTGCTCACTGTTCAGTTTCCATGCTAGCAAAGAGAAGACAGTTTTTATCCTACAATGTTGCAGTGCCATCCCCAAAGCCTCTTCCCAGTCACAGGGGACTGGAGCTGGTAAGATTTTTTTTTTTCTTCTTCACCTTTCCTCCTGTGTGCTCTGGAGCTATGATGTATGTAATTTTCTAGCACTCAAAAACTTACCTGTGGGTGACTGGATTACTGTTTGCTGCACTGGGCATAGTGTGTTGTTCCTGTGTAGTAGTGCATTTCATACTAAAGAGCAGGCACTGGGAAGTGGCTCTTACTAGCAGCATATTCATGGGGTTTAGATTCTGATGAGGCTAGCCTAGTGACTGAATTGTGCTTCCACAGGCATATTTAATGTTGGAGGACATGTTCCTGCTCCAGGTGATGAAGCAGCAAAGAAAATATTTAGTTCCAAAGCTCAGAGAAACCAAGTGAGCTTCATATTGCTGTAATTCACCAGAATGACCCTTCTGAACAGATGGAATAGCAGACATGTCTGTCTGGAACTGGGAGAAAGGCTTTGTAATATTTGGAGATAGCAGGCATGTTTTTGTATCCATTTCTTTGCCTCTGCAGACATGCCTAGTTTTGCTATTTGGCAATGAGTGCCATTTTGCAATGAGTTTTAAACATTCAGAATTCATAGCATTGGTGACTTGCACAGAACGCTCTGCAAACTATTATCAGGTGTAGCTTGCTTATTCCTGGGCTGTAGTATATTAATAATTTGGGGAAGGGAAAGCAGCCCTAGAATTTTGAGATATAAAATGCTTTTCTAAAATTCATACGCATCAAAAGGTCTTGCTAAGGGTTTTACTGAAAATGCCATGCTAGGATTTTTTATTAATCACAAATATTCATGCACTGATGAACCGAAGTGATTTCCGGCATCATCAAAACACATAGTATACATTACAATAGAACTATAAAGCGCATTGCTCTCGGGTATACTGTATAAGCAGTGGGGCTGTTTGTTTGTTTTTCTAAATCTGGTAGTCGGCAGGCAAGCACATGGTAGATGTGGCAAGGCTGGCACTAGGACAAGAATAACAGCCAGCTAAAAAGCCATTGCGATGAGGTCATCATTTAAATTTAGGTCAGATATTAGGAAGAACTTTCTCACTAGGAGGGAGGTTAAAAATTGGAATTGACTGCCTAGAGATGGTATGGAATTGCCACCCCGTGGATCATTTTAAGAGTAGATTAAAGAGGCAATTGACTGGTATGCATTAGTCAAGGATGATCCTGCCTTGAGCATGGGCTTATACTAGATGATGTCCTGAGGTCTCTACTAGTCTATGATGTCAAGTGTATGACAGACAGGGGTAGCATGAACTAAGAGAAAGAGGTAGCAGCCTGAGCTAACTACTGCATTTTTATTGACCAGAGTGATTTTGATTCTAGAGACTGCAACTTAGAGAACAAGCAGAACTTGAAAAGATCAGGACATGGCAACCTAGAGCCCACAGGCCAGGTCCTGCCCAGAAAGCCATTTTAGATGACCTGCAGAGCTAGAGTGCTTAGCCAAGACAGTACAGAAAAGTGGCAGCCCTCTAGCACGGAGCAGTAACTGCAGTTGTGGCTGCAACTGTGGCAGTGCAGGCTGGGTTGGACGCAGGCTATGTTCACAGTTTAGCTGCATTAAAGCAACCCCTCACTGCAAAATGCTTCTGTCCCCGCCCTAGATGAGCACATCTACTAGGGCTGTGCAAAGCTTCAGTCGCTGATTTGATTTAGCAGAGATTTGGCCCAATTTGGTGGCCCAATCTCCAAACCCGAATTTAATCCCTCCAAATCAAATCAGAAACCTCTGAATCTATTCAGAGAGATTTGGACAGACTCAGCTTTAACTGTTTTTTCTACATACCTCTAGGTACCAGGCAACTCGTGAGTGCTGGGGCACATGGAGTGTCCCACAGGAGTGTGGGGGACTCCCCAGCACGCTTGGCAGTAGATCTGGAAGTGGACCAGAAGCACTTCTGGTCCACTTCTGGGCCCGCTGGGGATCCCCGCCCCAGTTCGGCCACTGGTGCCTCCTGGGTCTGGGGGGGAGCACCCAGGGTCCCCCTGCAGCTAATCACTGAGCCAGGGGTGTGGGGGCCCCCCTGCATGTTCCCCAGCAAACCGGGAAGTGGACCAGAAGTACTTCTGGTTCATTTCAGGGTTCGCTGTCAAACATGTGAAGACCCTCCACCCCCTCCTGTGGGACACTCCATCCACCCAGGCATCGCAGTGTTCACGAGCTGCGCCTGCTACCTCAAGGTATGTAGAAAAAAACTTTTAAAGCTGCGTCTAAGGCCAAATTGCTGATTCTCTGAATCAGCAGTGAATCTTCCAATTTGGATTCGACCGAATCGAATCAGGGACAGTGTTCCGAATCAATTAATCGAATTACCGATTCACGCTGAATCTGAATTGAATAGGGGCTACTTCATACACCTCTAACATCCACCGCAGAGAACAAAAATGAGTGTCAGTTGTACATCACACTGCGGAAGAAAGACAAGTACAAATGATACCTGCAATGTTGCTAGCAGCATGTGTATTCTTCAAGACAAGAGACTTGACTGGCCAGGGGGATGGTCTGTATAACTACATCTATCCATGCAGGGCCTTGGTCAGCTCCCTGGTAAATCTTCATACAAGGAATCAGTCGCACAGGGGTTGGCACCCTTTGGCCAGCAACCCCATCTCAGATGGAATGCAGATGATGTTGGCACCCCAATCCTGTCCAACTCAGATTTTAGACAGCTGGCTTGAATACTGCTGGAGCAGTTTTTCTTTGCTCTCCTACAAGCCACTTCAGATATTTGGTTTTAAGGAGACTGCACAGCATGACTCATTTCTTCTGGTCTTTGCCAAAGTTTCCTCAATATAATGCAGTACTGTTACTGAACATCATCTATCCTTTCTTCACTGAGAGTAAAACAGGACAGATAATGGCACACCTTGCTTTTTTAAAGCAGTTTGAATATGGAACAAGACACTTGGCTAAAACACTAAGCTAGTCTCACCTGACTAATTAAGCATATAGCTATGCAGAGGTCTCCTCTTCTCACCACTACCACAAACAGCTAGGCAAACACATTGCTTGCCATACTGCCTCAGATGACAACACTTCGACATTCTTCCTTCTTGATACTTACGGCTGAGAGGGGTTTGTATCAGTGCAGCACTTTACAAAGTCTATATCCAGCTCTGCTGTCACAGCACAGTTGAAGGGGAAGAGGTACAAAGAAAATACTGCGCTCCCCTAATGTTTTCTTCTAGCTCAGTTTTCTCCACCTACTATCAGGAAATACCAGCAGCTGTTCACAGCACTTCTAATTACAGTCCTGAGATTATGTTTCAGTACTAGCTGCAATGGCAGGAGAAAAATCTAAACAAAAATAGCTAATCACAAGAAACTTTCCAGCAACAAAATGTGTGACAGTTGAGGGGAAACTGTGAATAAGGCTCAAAGGACAGTGTTAAGGGAAAGTGCTCCTTAAATAAGTTAACAATATTTGTATAAATTATTTATAAGGGAATAAAATAAGTCACATTGTGTAGCTGTACATGGAGTATCTGATACTAGCAATGCTTAAGTGAGATTTCAGTAGAAGAAAGTAAGATGATTTCAATGATTTAAATGTGTCCTGACAACCGTGGAGTAACAAGTCTCCTGATTTAGATGGCTACAAATAGTTACAGAGACCTTTGGCTCAGAATATTTGTATTGCTTTTATGAAACAATGAAACTACTTGCACACAGTGGAGATTAGCTGCAGGCCATCAGTAAGATTAAATTTAATGAACAGCCCCAGCAGAAGCTCAGATTTGTGTGCTCACCTTTACCAAGACTGCCACTTCTAGACTGTCTTTCAAACTAGCACCATTCCTCCCCAGAGAGGTGAGCTCTACTTCTATCTCCAACTCAGTCTGTCAATGTCAACTCTCCATAGTTCAGTGTAAGCATGTGTGATTAATCACCATAAAATCCAAGTACCTCAGGGCATTTATACACATATGTTTGCCTGCACTGATGTGCCGGAAATCCAGCACGTCAGAGCACGAGTCTGTGGACCATGTGAACTGATGTGTCCAGAGCTGCATCACACGCATTTGTATAAAAGGTGAAGTGTACATCAGCACTAAGAAAATGGCAGCAGTGCCCTGTGAAACTAAAACACTTTTGGTGTGTTTTAGTTCAAAAGTGCACTGCCATCATTTTGTCATCGCTGACACGCTTTTTGCCATTTATACAAATGCATGCAACACAGCACTGCCTTCCTGCAATTAAATTACAGAGCTATCAGGAGACTGGAATTAAAAAAAATCTGTGTCTGTTCATATTATTGCCTTCAGCAAATAGACATCCCTGTGCAAAACAGGTATAACTATTAATCTCAAAGGAGCAGACAAACATGACACCTTCCCTGCAGAAACGAGGTGAAGTTCGTCATTTTAAGAAAGTGGGACATCAGGGTTCTATTATTCAGTATTCACTCAAATAACTTGTAATGTGACCAACTCTGCTGTGGCCAGAATGCACGCTGAAATCTCAACAGTAAAGTGCTCACAATGCTAATGTTTTAGAATAAAAACACAGAAAACCCCTTGTACCTCCACGCTGGACAAAACTAACCCTTATTTTTTTAATGTAATGTTACAAATACATAAAGGTGCATGGTTACCAAAAATAAGGTGAATAAAAAAAAATCAGAAACAATTATAACGAATTACATTTCATAGTTTAAGCATTGATAACTGGTTACATCAACAGGTAAGTGGTGGAGTAAGAATATGAACTTATTAGCTGTGATTGTGGTAGTTCTGAACTGCCCACTAGACACTGCAATCTCCTCTCCTTCTAAATCAGTTCTACCCCAACTATCTATACAATCATTATTTTAAACATCAAGATTACAAATTAACTCTAAAACGATAACATTGGGATCATATTTGAACTTCTGGCCAAATGTGTGTGTTCATTTTTTCCGTGTCCGCTTCTAATAGTAACGTTCAAAAGCAGTTTTAGGAAAAAAAGCATGAGTCCATAAGAAGCTCACTCAATATAATTAGACAGATGTTTGCTTGTAGTTTTTAGTATCCAAGACCTTCTTTCCACACATTGAGCAGATGCCTGCAAAATAGACAAAAGGTGTATATCAGTCATTTCTTTTGTGTA